AAGTGAAAAATTAAACATGTACACGTAGGACCCATTGCAGTGAAAATTACACATGGTAGGACCCATTGAAGGCGAAAAATAAAACATGTACACGTAGGACCCATTGCAGGTGAAAATTAAACATGTACACGTAAAACCCATTGCGAGTTAAAACTATACATGTACACGTAAGACCCATTGCAGGTGAAAATTAAACATGTAGGACTCATTGCAGGTGAAAATTTAACATGTACACGTAGGACATATTGCAAGTGAAAAATTAAACATGTACACGTAGGACCTATTGCATATGAAAAATTAAACATGTACACGTAGGACCCATTGCAGGTGAAAATTAAACATGTACACGTAAGACCTATTGCAAGTGAAAATCAAACATGTACACGTAGGACCCATTGCAGGTGAAAATTAAACATGTACACGTAAGACCCATTGCGGGTGAAAATTAAACATGTAGGACCCATTGCAGGTGAAAATTAAACATGTACACGTAGGACCTATTGCATGTGAAAAATTAAACATGTACACGTAGGACCTATTGCAGGTAAAAAATTAAACATGTACACGTAGGACCCATTGCAGGTGAAAATTAAACATGTACACGTACGACCTATTGCAAGTGAAAAATTAAACATGTACACGTAGTACCCATTGCAGGTGAAAATTAAACATGTACACGTAGGACCTATTCCAAGTGAAAAATTAAACAGTCATCTAAAAAAAGTCCTGTATCAAGTGTGAGTAGCAAAGATTCATTTAATACTGATTGGTTATAAAAAAGAGTTTTCTAAATTTTGTAAAAGGGAAGGGGTGAAAGTCAACCCTGTGCTTAAAAGGATGAAGATACAAAGGGAGCATTTAAAACCACAAGCCAAAGAATGAGAGAAAACACCATTGAAGAAGGAAATACAAAATCGGAAGGACAAACAACAGTCCACAAAATAGTACACTAGATGTTGTTTTTTTCTCTCGGAAGGTTGCTATCTCTTTGACGTACACCCACATATCCGCTTATTCATACGGAACTTGAACACAGACTAAGCAACACGAACCCGGCCAAAAACTGCGATGTTCTAGAATTTTAAACAGTTCCTTTTAAGTTTAAATTGAAATTACCATTTCGTTTCGAATCGTATATACCTAGTAAAATTCGTGCATTGTCCAATAATATTGGCAATCTGCCTTTTTATTAAAAATACTAGGTTAGGGGTGTATTGATCGCTCACAAACATGTTCAAACCCTCAACATTCTATATGTATTAGAACCTGCCCCAATTCATTATTCAAGGCCGTATGGTGACATATAGTTGCTTAAATCCGCTTCCACATGACTCGGTTGGATAGCTGTCTCATTTGCAATCATACCAAATCTCATTATTTTATATAGTATGGTGACAAAGAGGGTCCATGTTCCTTCGACTACTGGAAAATCATTTATGAACGTAGCAAGGCGAAACAAATGCCAATTTTCGCTTGTTAAAAACAGATTCCAGTATGACGTTCTTCTTTCGATTTGCTTACAAAATCATCTGGTTTTTTTTCTATTCCAATAAAACATACGGTGCACGTGCGGGACGTCACAATTAAAATTGCAACATCAGTTGGTGACGCTCGCTAAGAAATTATACAATCATCCAGTTAATAAGTTTATATGTATATTTGTACACTTGGTACACTTGCATAATAATTCTTCTGTAATATTCGCGAATGGGCACTAAACAGTCGCGGCTACATGCTTTATCCCGGTATTGTTAGCTTGAATATTTTCAGATATGCAGTACGCGCAGTTATGTTCATGAATCGGATTCCCAGTAAATGATCGCTGTTTTTGGAATGTTCCCGAAAAGTCTAATTTCTCTTGACAACGGTTAGTTTTCAGAACGTTTGTCTTTTATCGTCACTTCGAAATGGCTGCCCTTCTAGTGTGTCTTATATGTCCGCTTCGAAGTAAAAGAAGTTTTGAAAGTTCCTATTAGAATAGAAATTATTCTTTAAAATGATATTCTATAATAGAAAAACAAAGGATATGGGGTATCTATATGCTCACTTTAACATGGATATGTATTATATTTGTGAATTTTTATACCTCGTTACACTTGGTGTAAAGTTAGTGACAAATACGAGGCCTTATTAATTAATCATAGGGCATACAATTAAATAACTATTTCTTAAGTATTTATGTGTCCCTCCTACACCTAAATCTTCCTTGACTGTAGAACTAAACAAGAATCACATAAAAACCTTATTGATAAAACAATACTTTATTCATGTCTATATATATTTATAGAATCAATACCATGAATGGTATTTATTAATTTATCTTCGTAGAGCATTTATAGATATCACTAAAAAGGAGGAAAGCACTTGTATAAATAAATACAAAAAATAAAAATACCAATACCACTTTATTGATGCCAAATCCCTCAAATCGAAACAAAGTGAAAAAAAAAAAAAACATGTTCCGTTATAAAACCATTTTGAGCTGAGGGAAACCGCTTAACTATTTTTGCTATTAATATCTGTTTTCAAACCACTTTATTTTTGTTGTGGTTTAAGACATGTAATTGTAACAAGTACCATTATGTTTGTTTCGTATGTTAAGACGTGTTAGCTTTTTATGTTTAAGACACATTATCGTAGCCAGATGCACGTGTTGACAACAACAACACTTGACCAAAATTATCATTAACCCTTGCCAAAACTAAATACTTTACATAATTACAGAGAAAGCATGCATACATATACACATAATTATGAAACATTTAAGAAATATGTAAATAAAAAAGTATATAAATGAAGTATAAGGTGCAACTAAGGTTTGCTACTGTTAATGTCAGTGATAAAATTAATCTTAAAGCTATTACATATCTAATTCTTAAAACAGCTGGAAATGCATATCAACAATAGTCTGGGATCCTGACACAATATTCTCAATACCGTAAGCGGACTTCCAGTCCGAATATAGCGTCGTTATATTTGAATTGAAGCTTGCAAAATCGAAAATATTTCATCAGGATTCCAGGTAAATATCAACAAATAAAAAGTTTCAATATCAAATGCGAATCCTGAGAGGATATCCGGGGTCTCATCTTCGCTAGCCAAGGGTTACATGTACGATCCAGTCCCCTCCTCTTCACGCGGAGAGGGGGTGACTGGATCGTATTCTTTAGCTAGCAAAAATGCCGACTCAACGCACTTTTTTTTTCGAAACTTTACTTTTCAGATCATTTTTATATTGACGAAATGTGCAACCGCTAGAATCCGACCGTATAAATAAATTTGGATCTGCGCCTGAATAAAACCTGTACGTCAGTTTGATGAGATAATTTAAGCCCTTTTCATCTGATAAAAACACATCGTTTTTGCGTTGTGCTGTTACACAATACACTGTCTCAGGTTAGGGGTGAGGTTGAGCGGTCACAAACATTTTTTTCCCCGACACATTCTTTGTGTGTCTGTCGCAAGCCAGGATGATGATGATTACGGATAGCTGCTTAACGTCCAGCGGCAAATTAAATGCATATTCAGGACCTGAACATGTTAATGTAATATGAAATTTAACGTTGCTTTGTACTAGACCGACACGCTAAGCCGGATTTTTAACGTGCTAATTCACAAGGTAACAGGAAGACATGTAACCTTACCCGGGCACATTTTTCGGACTCCGAGCCTACCAGTATTTGCTCTTACTCCTTAATGCAGTGTGCTTAGCGGTAAAGCAGCAAAGAGCAATTGTAAAGTCTTTGGTTTAACCCGGCCGGTGTTCGAACCCACGACCTCCTGCACTCGAGGCGAACATGCAACCCCGAGACCACCGAGGCAGTCGCAAGCCAGGAGCATGTACTCTAATAGTTGTCGTTGGTTGCTGTCTGCCATGCATTATTGTTTTAGCATACACCAGGTTGCTGATTTTCTCTTTTAAATTGATTCACAATTTATCATGCCGGGTAGGTTATACCTTACTTTACGATATGTGTGTTTTCTACTGTTGAAGGACGTATGTTGACCTATCGTTGTTTACATCCATGTCCTTTGGTCCCTGGTGGATAGTTATCTCATTGGCAATCATACCACATCTCCTTACTTTATAAATTGGAATCAAAGAGATGTTTATTCAGTCTAATACTCTATGAAGCAATTGAATTTGACCATCATTCGCATTAGTTATTACTAATTGCATGCAAATGATGATTACTTTGTATCAATATTTGGGGAAAACATGATGTATATTTTATTCGTTGATTAGTATTTTTACATGACATTGTGTATTGGATATTTCAACCAAAAAAAAAGGGTGAGCACTAATTAATATATCTATAATTAAGATATTTAAATTGTTTTAAAACTTTTTTAACAAACCCTATTTTTGCCATGATCCGCTATGTGAATGGCATTAGAAATATGTATAATACATTAATATGGAACTTCTTTGTATATTACAAGTAAAAATTATTTAAAAATTCTAAAATTCGTGTCCAGCAGAATTTATATAATTTGATAAATATTAATCGACATACTGAGAACATTCAGTCTACTTTTATTTATAATCTACTCTTCAAATAATTATCTATTTTCTCGTTAGTTCAAGGAAAATGCTTAGATAAGGGAAAATCATTTGAACAGATGTTTCTGTGTTAAAAAGTATTTTAACTGAAATATTCAATAGATTGATAAAACCAACATCAATATCAAGCACGTCATAAATAATTCGCTAGTTTATCAATACTAGCGAACAGCTGACGCAAATAGTTATGCGCAAAATCGAAAAGGTTAGAGGTCGTCCGTAAATACTGAATGAAAATCAATGTGTAATTCCCACACTATTCCGTAAGCATTTTTTCGGGATTTCTCTTGATTTGTCAAATATTCCAGAACATAGCAGACGAGAGTTTTTGGAAAAGCCCTCGAGCGATTGGTCGTCTGTAAAGGCAAAGTCTTCAATCGAAAATCGTGATATGAATATTGTATGAGCTTAAAATGAATATGCATGAAGAGAGTATTTATAGTATAACAACGTACAGAACTTCTATTAGATAGCACGAACACATATTACTGAATGTACACAAGGACTATATTACATTATTTTTATATTTTCCATGATGAATAGTTGACAGTAAAAACACAGTTTGATATTGGATACATTTTACAATTTTTATAAAGGTAAGTTGGTAACATTGATTTTTCAACGTCAAATCTTCCTAGTTAAACCATAAACATATCAACAGATTTACCATATGTTTTATCGTCTGGCAAACTCACAAACTTCAAAATATCGTTTAGAAACATTTAAAGTGTAAATTAAATGATGAATATACATAATGGATATAAAATTAGTCATTAAAGTCGTATTGAATTTTTTTATCAACTAAAATATTTTAAACATGTAAACATTTATTCTCGAGAGAATGGGGGTTTGTAAGTTCGAATTCTCGGTTACGTAGTTGCAGACGTCATGAGGCTATTTTTATCTTCAGTATCTCCTTATGTTGCATACTCTTGCTGCAGTAACAGTGAATTCTTATCTGATGTATGTATAACTTTCTGCGTTTTTTTATCTGGAATGTTATTTGTTGTTTTTATACATCGATTATCATCCTGCCAATTAATAGAACACTGATTAAGAATTGTCTAATGTCCAATTTCATGTCAGTTTCACTACTTCGAAACACAATTGATGCCTTACTGATACTGATACATAAAAAATACTTGTACAATGAATACATGTACAATCATGGATACATGTATATAAGGAGCAATACACGATACTGTTCGCGGCTTAACGGTTGCTAATGTTCCCTTTTTAGATGGTAAATATTCATTTTTCACTTAAAACAATTATCAGAGCCAAATAATGCATTATAAAATCCATTTTATTAGAAATCATTTTGGAAAGTGCACTTAACCGGTTAAGTATCTTAATAATAAATCGACATCCAGATGTGACATTTACATTTACTTTATAAATTCGATAATCGCTTCTTTTTTTTTCTTTATTGACGACAAATCTTTTTTTAATACATTTATGCTCCTGTTTCAAGAAAACTACATATTTTAGACTCTGGACGATTGAGGCTTGAAATATTGTATCCATAAACATCATCTGTCTATTGTTGAAGACTGTATGATGCCTTCTAGAATTATTTTGTGTATTTATGTCGTTGTATTGCTATCTCCTCCTTTAATTCATATGTACAATTAGATATACAACGAGTAGTTAAATCACAGTTGATTTTTAATGGTAAAATGGAAGACATAATTGACAATCTACACATGTGTATTGCTTCTCATTTGCTGCATGTTATGTCCATAGTTTTCTATTCTGTAAAGAATTACGAATCTATTCACTTATTTTTTACAATAGATGCTTACGTTATAGCAAGTGTGTACATATAATTTGACACATATTATGTTTGAAGTTTTTGTGACAAGTCTGGTGTAATTAAGCATAACATTTACTAGTTTTTACATTTTCAATGTTTCAACCTTTACCCTAAGGCGTTTATGTGTATTGGTATTCCGACTTTAATACACAGAAGATTTAACGCATAAGTCTGTTTTGCATAATGATCTCAAAAAGCTACAAGACTTTGCATGTAAGAATTAAGACTATAACATCCCTGGTACACGATAACACTCTCAGAAACATAGTTTTTGTTGATGAAAATCGAGTTTTACGGATCTCGCAGTCAATCACGAGCGAAATGAGAAAGTGACTATCCATTTCGTCTTATCTAAAAGTTTAATTAAAACTTTTGTATGGATTTAATCACAAACCAACAGTATAATTTCCTTGTCTGACAATTCGGATATATTGCCTGAAGCCATTTTAATTTACATGCAAATGTTCTCCCGGAAGTACTGAAATAGGCCCCCTTTGACGTTTGATGTATACGCTCTCAACCTTTCCGAATACGGTGAGGAAGTTACAATAGTCCCTGCAGAAATAGATGAACAATTCATGTAAAGAAATGACGTCATTTTCTAGTTAGTTCTTACGAATTTCAGGATGGAAATAGACATTCGAAAATACTGAAAACGAAAGCAACCAAACTGATATTTGGAATTTGTTTCAATATAGGACTAACTTCCTTTCTTATCTCTATCTTTTCTTATTTACATTACATATTGGCGAAAGTTCAATATAGCTTTCGATGATTTATTGATTGATGTTTGCTGAATATCCAGTAGCAAATATTTCATACATAATAATGACAATTAATAGTTTACATGCTAATATTTGTTGGTCTTCAAAAGTGAGCATATTGGACTAGTGTAGAAGTTGCTGTAGACAACTCCGAAATATCCCAAAATCTAAAGAACAAAACAAATCCGACTATCACTAGACATTTTAACGACAAACAACACAAAAAACTTACTGTTAATATATATGTGATAATGAAAATATATGCCATTAATTGTTTATACAAAAGTATGTATACCTAGTAGTAAAGTCCCAAGATTGTATGAAGAAGAAAGAAATAAAGGACGTAAAAAATAAAATAACAAAAGTACCAAACTCCAAGAAAACTCAAAACGGAAAGTCCCTTATCAAATGGCGAAATCAAAAGCTCAAACACATCAAACGTATGATAAAACAGCTGTCATATTTGTGACTTAAATTCATCTTTGAAATTGAAAGGCCAGTCTTTAAACAGGTTCTTCACTTTGTTTCAACTAAGCTTCTATTTTAAAGTTAATATAATTGTAAATTATTTTTCTCAAAACTCCTTTAAAAACCCTAAATTAATATCTCTATTCTAAATATCTCAGGTGTAAACGCTCAAGGTCATTATGAATTATTAACCTATAAAAGTGGAAAACGTGTTTCTATATATATGTTTATTTTCATATTTTCGTGTTTATCATTTCATAATTGTAATTACTTATATATATTAACCTATTCTGACAGGTGTGTCTTACATGTCAGATACAATCTTCAGGTGTATCGCTATATTTATCTCGTTCACATTGATAGAAAGCAGGTTATTTTGGTTCAACCTTCCCTTTTCATTTGAATTCAAGGATCACGAACCGAACAAATAAGATAATTGGAAAATCACAAAAATGCATGTTTTCTCATTAAGTTGTTTTTTCCGTGTACATTTATGTATGCTTTTTTTTATAATAGTCGTGAGCTTACGATATGCCTAATAGAAAATTGATTGAAATAACATCTAAGGAAAAGGAAAAATAAAGAAATGGAATAAAGGAAAGGGTAAGAAATAAAGACAAACAAAATATAATAGGTTGCTTTCAAAAAAGCTCGTGTCAGGAAAGTCAAACATGGAATAATACCCGGAAAGCTTATTTTTTTATCGACAAGTATCTTTAAAGAATTATAGCCCAAGACTTATTAAGGTCAATTTTGCATTAGAGAGTTCTAATCATTGGGTAAAATTTATAAGTTCATCAACCATGGATTTATCACAATCTCGAACCAATATATAATGTGTTAGTCCCAGGCAAAATGTATGTTTTAAAACATATCTGTACCGAATCATTGACTACTGCGCTGTAAGACCAAAAAACATATCTGTACCGAATCATTGACTATTGCGCGGTAAGGCCAAACACATATCTGTACCGAATCATTGACTACTGCGCGAAAAGGCAAAAAAAACATATCTGTACCGAATCATTGACTACTGCGCGGTAAGGCCAAAAAACATTTCTGTACCGAATCATTGACCACTGCGCGGTAAGGCCAAAAAACAAATATATAAAAAACAAAGTAGGTAGGTATGAATTTTGTTTTCATTTGACTCAATTGTTTTATCGTTTGTATATGAGGGCAATTGAATGAGTTAACCTGCAATTCCCTTCCGAAAGTGCCATTAAAAAATTACCGGTAGGCATGACGAGGCATAAACAATAAGGTTTGTAGTAGGTCCTAAACACAAGTATTTGTTTTATTTTAGTCCTATATGTTTTAGGGGACCAATAGACATCTAGCAGCATGGGTATCGACCAAGTGGTGTAAACAAAAAACAATCACACGAATGTGTGGTTCTTAAATGCACACATGACGTTATCGATAACCTGAAAATAATTCCGCTCAACTATGTGTAACGGATAGTCTAATAAAACTAACAGTGCGGTGTAAGCTTTTGTACGGAGTTAGTGTTTCGCTGAGACTTTAAGTTAAGAACTGTAAATAAACGCTCCTCTCTGGTTGGAGTATGCAAACGGATTTAGTTAAGAGTCATGAATTAATACAATGCAGCTTTTCCTTTTTCCATTATGCAAATTAAAGTTGATACGATTAAAACATCTGACTGGAAGCATTGTTTGAAAATCCTTCTTTACAATGTTCTTTGGTAAAACGTTTTTGACGAAAGTCCTGGGTTTTTTTTATCCATTATATTGTCAATAATTGTCTTTTGAAATAAATACACGAAGGAAATTATTTATCGACTGTGGCATTGTCAGGCAACAGAAATTTCGCAGCAGTTGCGATCATTTCCGGACATTTCGCGTGCAGACAGTAAATATTATTTGCGTTTCATTACAGACTCTTTCCCGTTATGGTCGAAAATCTAGATTTAAAAAAAAATGTACTTCTTCATCAAGATACATGGAAAATGTAACGTTTTAAACCATATTTCCGAACACACCATGACTAGAAATTCACCTTCAAATTCATGTACATTTAAAGTACATTACAACTTAATTTCACGGCGGACGAAATTAACACTAATTTTCGCCTTATCAGTTTGAAAACTTGCCAGATTTTTCATACACAGTGCCGTGATACAAGTACATGTAATTAAATCGGTACAAGTACATTAAGAATAAATTGATCAATACATTTATTAATGTTGTTACTTTCAATGCTAATGTAGGTAACTAGTTTAAATAAGATTTGTTTTTATATTAATATGCTATTTTAGTCCTCATCAATATGTGACACGTGTTCCTAAAGAAGAAATGAAAGTGTTTTTTTAATAATTTATTACTTTATTACAAAAAAAGCCTAAGACGCAGTAATTCAAAAGACGTTGTGGTTTATGATTAAACGCAATTTTAAGAACTTCAAGGCGAAAATTACTTATATTGTAGGTAACCACGTTTTCCTGGTCACATTTGTGCGATCGAATAAATGACTTAAGTCAGGACTAGACAGATATTTTAATGATATCGATATCACTGTAAATCATACATTTTTTCAAGTTGTAAAAAAAACACTTGTCATGAATTGTTTCCCCATGTTTAATGTGTCCTTACATACTACAATAAAACTGGCAGAAACTATATGGTCAACATGTTGAACTTATGATATTTACAACAACAACACAATTCTACAAATTAAGAAACAATCAATTACATTGAATAAATGCCAGAGTTGTGTAAAAAGGAATGTTTCTGGCAATTAAAATTAACACTAAATTACGCCAAGCATAATGCTGCATGTTCCAAGGTCTCGAAACAAACGAGATTGCGTAAAAATATATTATTGTTTTCATTCGAAAAAAAACTGATTTGTTTTCTTCTCTGGTAATTGAGCCGTGATGAATCGTGGGTGTATAGTTATAGGGTTATCAGTGTATTAAACAAGTAAATCCCTGTCGCATTGATTTTCTGTAAATTGTCTTTATTACTAGTCGCTCTGAAAGAGAATATAACTATTTATGTGAAATTTTGTAGGCGATGTCATTAGAAAAGGTTAATATCTTGATTCTAATTAATAGTGTTCTGTAAAGCGTATGATTATTAATGGAATTTTGTGGCAAAGTGTAATTTTGTGCTTGTTAAAGGGCATTTAATTATTGCAGAAGTGTCTAACACTATTCGCAATGGTTTGTTTGTTATACTGTAGAAATTGCCAGGAAAGGAATGTTTTTTTTTATTTTGAATTATTGAATATATTTTTTTTTTCTTACGATGGAAAGTTTAATTGAAAGAATAGATACGTCTATGTACAGATATCCTTCATTCTAGCCTTTATATGACCCGGAAATTTAGAATATCAAAATTAAAGATAGTTTAGCTTCTGTATATAGACAAATTCTCCAACTGCATGACAAAATTCTACGGTTCCGTCAAGTCCTGAGAACAAAATCAATACCAATGCCTGGTTTTGACAGGAACTTCGTTCAGAGAATAACTATTTATCAGAGAGCGGAATACTAATATGACAGACTATGTACAAGCAAACGATCAGTAATCCTTCTCATTAATAAACAAAGAACCATGCATTTCTGGTTGACAAACATATAATCTGAAACATATAATATTTCACGAAACATCACAGTAATGCTTTAGAAAGCTGTATCTGACCTAAACTTTAATTAGCTTCAACTTAACTTATCTATTTTTAAATTTCAACATGCTTTGAGGAATTTTAAATATAATCTTGATCTTTATACATATCAAGCAACTAAATAAGATATTTTCTTACTGATATATGTCATCTTCCTTTTCAAACTTGTTTGTTATAATTAACAGTTGCTATTATTTACATCACATTAACGGTTTAAAAAACTGTTAACCAAAACCGTAAATAATTTTAAATTAGATGATCTATTTTTAGATTTCTACATGTTTTAAGGAATTTGAAGTATAATCTTGAACATTTTACAATTCAGTTATCTTTATAAGATTTTTACTGATTTTTACAATAAAAATAAAATATCTGTGTGCCAAAGTACATGTAAGTCATATAAGCGGCACACAAAAATACACATAAAAACACAGCTACCAATTTAAGAGGTAAAAAACGGCAAACTATGCGTCATGAATGCATTTTTTTTCGTGTTAATGGGTTACTGCTTATTGACCTTTGTCTCACATTTCCATTTATTTCTATCAATCTGCACAATATCCGTACAAGCTGCATGGTTATAAAATCGGAGAACTATAGGCATTATAACACTTTCAATCTCAAATGTGTTAAAATAAAATGAATAAAATATACGACATTTTTATTACAAAACACGCAAGGGAACAGAAATGCAAAAAGGGACAGATCTTTTTAATCCATGTATCTTGGATTCATCCCATAATGACTCTCTCGACATCCATAAATGTATATTGAAAAAGCAATTTTTCATTAGAGACATGCACTTTTACCTATGAACAATTTTGTGTAATAGACTAGAGACCAAGTTCAGTCATAATTAAGGTGTTTTAGGTTATAAAATATTCTCACTTTTGATGTGTTAAAAAAAATATAAGTATCTTTCTACATATCTTTTAAATCTTGCTTTATGATCGTTTTTGTTAGAAACGTTAGCTCCATTTTACCAGACATGTTCTTTTAGGTAAAAAAATATTTATAGTCGACGAGACATTAATTTTAAAAAATTATATGTAACAATGGAAGGTGTTTGAACTATTGTCTCATGCATACGGAATTTAACATATAGAATGTTTCAGACGGTTCGTTGTAATTCATCATATTTTATAAATTATTTTTTATACATCGTCGGTACGCACCAGTATCAAGCTCCTCTAATCATGTGATCTATAATTTTTCTTTCTTTTGGAAATAATTCTTTGCCTGTAGGATTAATATTATGTTTGTAATATCATACCTCATAAATCAACAGGCATGCGAAAGGTTAATGAAAATGGATTGTGTATTGGCACATCCCATTTTAGCGATACTTTATAGTTACAGTCTAGCATGAAATATGGATTTCTGCGTTTCCGTCGGACTTTAATTTGCTTTTATTGAATGTGTAATCCAAGTAAAAATTTAACAAGAACAAGATCGACTTTTCTTAAACATAAATCAATCTGTTGATATAGTTTGGCTGATAACATGTAGTATCAAAATCAATAGAGTCCTTTTGAACATCTGTGAAGCCATTTTCTTGCGATAGATTTTAGCTGTCATTCTTTCAAAGAAGGTAACGGAAATGAATAGAAATCACGTGAACAGCGCGAGATTGATTGGACTTCTGCTGATATCATTGAATTGACTGATTGAAAGCTTCTTTACAATTAAGGAAATATTTTTATCCGAAAACATGTTGCACATAAAATAGAGTGGAAAAAGATACCCTGTGCTTTAATGATAGTAAATCGATCAAGGTGACGGCACGATTCGCAACTAATTGATGCCGCATATATGTCCACAAATAAAAATAAAAACTATGGGGACTGATATCTTTGAATAACATATGTAACCTGAATTTTCGTTCTTTATCACTTATAAACAATTGAAGATTATGTCACTAAAAGATATTAAAAAAACGTCATCGTATTGAAATTGAAATGGTTGATTGATTGATTGTGATTTCTTTAAATCGCATAAAAAAACAGAAAAGAAATGTGTTCATATCATTAATTCTTCTTGTCCTTATACAAATGCAGCATATTGCTGAAAATCGATGCTTCAATAGGTTTTGTACTATGTATAAGACTATCTGATCATTCGTTCTAATGAAAATTTAAGACGAATTAACGCGCCGTCGATCATCTAGCCACCAGGGCAAAAAGTAATAAATATCTAACGTCACCAATAAGACTAAAAAAATAAGATTAAGAAGTTTATAATTCTGTCTGATCTAAGGAATAATGAAATAACTTTAAAGAAAAAAAAAGTATTGACTTTAATTCATAGTTATAAAAGTTTTAACGAAAGTCTCTTGTTATTCATATAATTAAATGTTTGATACAATGATATTTTGTTGGTTCTCAAACCCAAGTTAATAGTCTTCAGTAACAATTAGCCTTTTTTGAGGGCTCGAATGGGGTCTACCGAATAGAGAATAACGGGAAAATGATAAAGACCATGCAGAGAAAAATGGGGGGTCTAAAATATAAAGGATAGAGAATATCCGGCAAAAAGGTTAGAGAAAAATGACCTGACCCCAATAAATGAAAAATACATAAATGAAGACCAGCCCTCAAGATACTCATATATATATTTTCTTTCTCATCTTGATTGATTTCAATAAAACCTAGTTTACATTAACAGTCATCGATGTGTTTTGTTTGCTAATTAGATTTTATTGAATGTTTTCAGGTATAAAGAACTCAACAACACCCATCTCATTAGAAATTTATTAGAGATTTGATACATAGAATCTAAAACATTGATAAATCGACATGCACTTAGAGGTATCGGTAGCGCTGAACTTTGTGATATCATACTTGTATAACAAATTACCAAGAAGACGAGTAAACTTATTCGGCGAAGCTCTTGAAATTGGATTAAAAAAGAAGTTTGAAGGTCATTGGTACCCAGATAAACCTACTAAAGGATCCGGATTTCGTTGCGTCCGTGTCAATGGCGAAAATGTAGACCCCGTTATGATAAATGCTACATATGATTGTGGACTTAATTTGGATGAAGTGAAATCTTATTTGCCAGCTGAACTCACAATCTGGATAGACCCAGGAGAAGTATCTTATAGAATAAGCGAAAAGGGACCGGTAAAAATTCTCCATAGTGATCGAAGAGATGAAGAAATTACAGAAAAAGCCGATCGAGAAATACAGATGTCAGACAGAGGCTTTAATCCCGAGGCACAATGCTTTAAGCCGATTGATTCGCTATCATCATCGTTAAGTAATCTCAGTCTGTCCCCGGGAGGACTTTCACCATCATCACCTTCGTCATCATCAGGGTGGCCGGGTAGTAACTCCACGTCACCGTCTAGTGCTTTATTCAACTCCGACTTGTCATCACATCAAAATCCACCATTTCAACAAGAATATGCTCCTGCTGCAAAATCTTCCGGACATCAATATTTTACAGCTGCTACGTTTGCCGCCACTAAATTTGGATCTACAAAATTGAAGACAAATGCCAAGCGTCCAACTCGTCTTTCACCTACCGAGTTTGGAAATTTCCTTCGTCAAAAGTCAGCCATGATAGCCAAAGGTAATGCAGGGTTATGTTCGCCTCAAAGGCCAAGGTCGTTGTCACCACGTGATCCGCGAACTGAATTTCTATTGGATCAACACCAGAGGATTGCCATGTCTCAGTTACAGCATCAGCATTTACAACAGTTACAGCATCAACAGCAACAGCGATTACATTCACCCCAACATATTGGTCCTTTAGGTTCACCACCTCATATTGGATCACCTACCGCTTATATCAATGATACGTTCGGAATGTCTTCACCCTCATCCCCCTATCACCAACAGCCATACGGAAACATGGTCGATTTCCTGCCAGGCCCTACAAATCTTCCGTCGCCAGTTGGGTCAAATGCTGTTTCACCAGAGCAGCAAAAATCTTTTTTGGAAGGTTTAAACATGAGTGCAGGGTCTTACCAAAGTCAATACCCACACATGCTTCTGGCAAACTAATGGACTGTTGACCTTGCAGTGAATTTGGAGAACAGGTGCGCTAACAATAACGTTAAATGTCAAATACATTGGTTATATTTTTATTGTCATGTTCAATCGGAACTATTTGGAAAACTATTTTTGATCTATATGTTACTAGATTTTGTCGGTTTTATAAACAATAGGATATAATAGACTATGTCGAACATTTTTTGGGGTTCTATCTATGGTTCATGGTTATGACTTTATTTAGGTTAGATTTGATTGTAAATATCAAACCATTACAGTCATATTTATCATTTTTTTTAATCAGGACCCAATAATAAGGATTACAGTTTTGTCTTTCATCTTATTTTTTTAAAAGCAAAGAGAATTTTATCATATTTTTGTATTAGATAATAACTGAGATTATTTTTCTATGCTTAGGTTGTGGTTTGTTATTTTCACCAGAAATTCATGAATTTTATTTGATCAGTTGATAAACTGGTTAATATAACCTTAAATACCAATTACAAAACCATGTGTTGGTTGGCCACATTTATCATGCCAAAATATTGTTTTTATCTTGTTATTCAATATTACAAGGGTTCAGTGTAGTTGTTATAGAGTTACCTTCTGTTATTACTCCGCCACAAAAGATGCATACGTCCATGTTTTTTTTCTTGAAATACCAAGGTAATAGAAGTACGATTTCCCAATGTAGATCTTGTTGAAAATCCGCGTGGTACCCGAGTTATAGATTACGTTATGGAAAACCGGTTACCAGGAGAATTTTAGTACTACATTTGGAAACTAGACTACGGTAACATTTTTGACAAAAAAAACTTCATTTGTGCATTCTAAATGCGTGGGTAGTATATAGTGGTTTAATGTCTTTCTTTAACATCTACAGTGAACCCTTACGACGGACCCCTGAGTACATTACTCGACAATTTGGTCATTTTCTTTTGTCTCGAAATAGTCTTAAGAATTCAAACCCATAACTAATCCAATGTTCTGTTTAAAAATCTTGTACAAAAATTTTACAAAAAACTATGATACATTTCTGTCCTATTTATTAACTTTTAAGTTGACACACCTTGTAAAACAATACTGTGTTGACCTTTGACACTTCCCCCTTAAATAAACTTACTGATGTATAACGAGAGTCCCTATATGAAGTCTACAAGATCCTTTAAAGGTGACGAGTTTATAGAGGTCACTACAACGTTTGAGACCTGTCTTAGTGTCTAAGAGTTTGTCTCAATACATGAATTTAATAGTAATTTTATTTTTTATTTTTGAATGTTATGTTTCATATATAGCTGTATATAGAAAAAAAAATATATATATATATATATATATATATATTCGTAAACTTTCTACGTTCATATATTATCGATGGTTATTATGGCGTGGTATAAACTTTTATACGTTATTAAATGTTATCTTTTGTATTTCATATTTTAAGATATTTAATAAAATATTTGTTGAATAATAATGAGAGAGAATTAAATTCTCGTAAATATTTATTTATTTTTTTTAATTTTTTTTTTTTTGTAATGGAAATGCGATATTTCTGGCATACAAATTAGCAAGAACATTCGTTAGTTTCGAACTTAAGAAAACTCCGAAACTGTCGAATACAATCATAAACTCGATATATTCATTGCACGATAGTCGTTTACGACGGGGATGTGGGTTTTCTGCTAATTTACTACTTAGCTTTAACTTAGAAACAAGATAATGACCTTGTCATTTTCACAAACTAAACAAAAACAATTTAGCTCCTCATCAACTTATACATTTTCTGTCTCGACACTGCATCGCCTGTTTTATAAATTGCTACAATTACCGGTTTTCAAACAAACCTCTGGTGATGCACATTTCCGCATAAATATCACATGCTTAAGAAATACGATACAAATTATACAAAGTGACTAAGTTTTCTCAATCAATACACAACAAACATAATACAGGTTCAGCTCATTGTCGGTAATTTTTTTATCTCCCTCTGACGTATTTTCAATGATTATTGGGTCTTTACACTTAATTGAAGAAAATCCAAAAATATTTGTTTAGGACAATTGCAGCCTATTTTTATTTCCGCTCGGTACAATCGTTACGTGATCATCTTCACTTATGCGTTTGAAAACTGTCATTATCACTAGAAAGCTTTGACGTCAAAGTTTTTTTTTATGGGAAATTGGAAACCAGACTGTCTATTTTAGTGATTGTTTCGACTAATTTGTTTGCCAACAAATATGCGTATATCCTTAAGAGAATGTCAGGCCATGGATTTTATGATTTTTAATTTCAATGAAAGTGCTGGACACGATGAAAGAACTTTTATCTACCCTCGTTAAATTTACAGTTTAATTTACGATCGATTAATTATCTTAAACAAGTTGATCATCAATGTATTCGTTGTTTCGAATAATTCTGAATATTATTAACTACAGCTTTTACAAAAGTTTTAAAAATTAGATTCATTTTTTTTAATTTTAACTTTCCTCCATCCTCCGTTAACAGTTATTTCCCTGCTATGAAGGGAATTGCTCTTGCGCTGCTACGCTTTACATGTCCGTTGCGATATTGCAATAATTTTAATAAGACGCAGACTCAATTAAAAATTTTGTAGAAGGGAAGTAACTGCGACTAGAGGCAATTGTTTCTTTTATTTTAGACAGTTAGATCGTATATTTCCATGGCCTTAATTGTCACCACAATCAATATAGTAAATGTAGATTGTGCAATACAGAGAGGGCGGACAGGAGAGCTAGGGATAGAGGGTGGAGGACCTGTAGTGATGTGGAATTATAGGATTGAGTACGGCCTTCTGTCCGCCCCCTCAACACGAGTACGTTCCATTAGTAACGGATATATTCACAGGGCCTTTCACTGTTAAATCTTGCATCATTTATATTGCTACATATTTTTAAGTTTGTAATAAAAATTGGTATTTTCTTATAAAATATTGTTTGTTTTGTTATTGCCATTGTAGAGTGAGGAGGCGTGGTTTGATTGCCAATAAGACAATTATCCACCAGAGTTCGAATGACGTGGATAAAATCAAGTATGCTAGTTCACCGCACGGCTTTCAACAAAGGGAAAAATCCATAACATATAATCATTTAGTCATAAATGGCACCGATATGAAAAATGTTTTCAGATCCTTGTAAGCAAACTTTTTTTAAAGCTTGGACACAGGATCTGAATTTGATCAGATTGCCTAATCTATAACAATACAATTTACGAAAAACGAATATGACAGACATGAACCAACGACAGCCACCGAATTACAGATTCCTGACTTGGGACAGGCACATTAACAGGTGGGGTTAAACATGTTTGTGAGCGCTCAACACTCCCCTAACCAGATGGGACAATGGTGTTACAGCACAACATAAGAACAAGTGTACAATTCAGTTTCAGAAGTCTTAATTCAATAGATCCGTACGAAAAAAAGGCATAAAAACCACAGATACAGGGCACCGATGTATGAGTATTCACAGTTACTGAAAGCTAGTGCAAACCCAATTATCAATAATGAATTAATCATGTTATCACAGACTAAAGTATCAATCAGTACACATCCAACGGATTTGATGCTCCTTTAACAAATTGATAACTTGAAGTATCCGGATATATTTGACTACCAGTTTTGTCTGATGTAAAATGGGAATTCATCATGCAATAGTTAAACACCAAACCTCACCGTAAATATCGCGACAAACGACCAAGACAATGACAATCAAAGTTAACAGATTAGTTTATTACTGAAAATAGTATTAACAATAAAAAACTTATGAATATTTTACAATCATCACTTTGAAACCTTCAGTTTCAGAACAAAGCAAAAAGGGAAAACCATTTAAAATGGCACAAAACAGTTGCGTATAGTTAGAAAATGATTGCCATTAAATATTTGTCTTTGATTTCAGATGTTTCATTAATTTTCATTTTCAAAAAGCACATTTAATAATCGATTAATTGATTGTTTGAATGTTGGTGGTGTACGCCAATTTCAACACTCCTGGCTATGACATTGTCATGGAAGCCAGTTTTTTTTATAGGTGGAGGAAGCCGGAGAACTTTGAGAAAACCACCGACCTTTGACGGGAAGTCTGACAATCAATTGAAAAATTATCCGTATTACCACTACACTGAAAGCAAACAAGATGGCATATTAATATTTGAATTAAGTCTGATTGTTATAAGATTATTTAAAATAGTTGATCTAAAGGTTTTAATGCAATTCATGACATTACACATGCGTAACCTTGGTAACCCTCGAAGTTGAATGGCGGATTAATGAGCGAGTTTATTTTCTTCAAAGTAAAAAAAAAAGAAAAGATCCAAGCGGGCAATCAAATCAAAAGTCCAATAACAGATGACACCTTAGCCAAAAAAGTCCAATAACAGATGACACCTTAGCCAAAAAAGAATAAAGAAAAAAAAATATTAAAAAAATATAACACAGAAAACTAAGAATTGAGCAACACGAATCTCATCAAACGGGAGACGAACTCACGTGCTCCGGAAGGGTAAGCAGTTATTGCTTTACAAGTGGCACCCATCACGTGACTCGTGCAAGTCAAAATCAGATAAAAAGTAGCATTCAGTAATGTCTCAATCGAAAAACAAACAGTGCGGAATTGTAGTTAAGTGAAGATAGTTTAGGAATATTAAGGTAGCAATGCACACTTACAAAGTAAATTTAGATTGATCCTGATAATTTTGAAACATCATCTTTCCCCTGCTTTTTTAACAGATTAAGGTTATTGTTTGTGTCTTATATGCCCATGCATGTAATCAGTCTCTTTCAAAACTTTAAAAGTTAAAATGGTGAAATATTGTTTTTATTTGGTGTATTCATGAAAACAATTTGCATTTATTTGCCATAAAATATTGAATAATTTGCATCAAAATGTCACATTTGTTCTCAAAATTTTGCCCAAAGTTAAAAGTTAAAAATCAATTCTTATGAGTGATATATTTTCTGAAACGATATACATGTATCAATCAAGTGATCAAATAGAAATCATCAGCTTTTCGTCTCATTTTTTCGTAAAATTGCGTTGACTTGAAAAGTCCGTGTTGAAAAAAAAGGTGTCAACAAACAATACAATAATATCTCTGGACCTGATGGCTTGTTTACATGTGAAAATACGGACTGTCAAACATAAATATCCTATGAAACATACAAAAACAATCTGGTGTTCACATAAACCTACTTTGAAAGCTATTTTATTCTACAGCCATTTGAAAATAGATTTTATTGCAAAATAACAATCATATTTAAAAATATCATCGGGGCAAAAATGCAAAACCACTCGCCTAGCTGTGGAGTGCTACCCGAACCAAATAAGAAAACTTTCGGTCACTAAAACTAGCTATCATTGAAGAACAATTATCATTCTTCACTATTACTAGAAATCATATTGTCAGAGAAGACTTCCGGATACAAAATGATCAAACAAATTCCAGAATTAACATACATGTATATACAAATGAGTGATTATCAGTTGTATTATTAGAATACAATATTGTATATTGTTTTAAAAAAGAGAGGCGAAAGATACCAAAGGGGCATTCAAACTCATAAGTCGAAAATAAACTGACAAAGCCATGGCTAAAAAAAAAGAACCAACAGACAAACAATAGTACACAAAACACAACATAGAAAACTAAAGACTGAGCAACACGAACCCCACCAAAAACTAGGGGTGATCTCAGGTGCTCCGGAAGCGTAAGGAAGCGTAAACAGATTCTGCTCCACATGTGGTACCCGTCGTGTTGCTCATGTTAGTACAAACCCGGTAAAAAGTATAATTCGGTGGGTCACATTCGGGAAAAGGGGACGGGATTGTAGTTACGACATTAGGAACATATCCACTATCATCTGTGAAAAGGATATTCCGTAACGGTCAACCAACTCGTGATGGCGTCCGTAAAATTTACGGAGGGATGATTTCAACTTCACCACTTGGAACTCTTGGTTTAATAGCTTCCTTGTGAGCAGCAACCCTCTATCAAGGAAATCATGATAGGAAATACAAGCCCTGGAGGATCATATCAACTGGGAGATATATACTCCGTATGCAGGCGCTGAAGTGATTTTTTAAAATCCATCTAAATTTAACTGTCTTTCTTTTCACAAAAAAACTATTACGACCATTATCGACAAATAGCAAAAAAAAATATAAAATATCAAACAAAGCATTTTAACAGAAAAAAAGGAAACATTAACAATAAACAAGTGTTTCCAGTAACTCCAAAGTCGTGAACTTGTTTTTGGTGCAAAACCATTACTTGTCCGTTCAAACTGGCAAACGATTAAATGTTTTATCACTTTTTTCCCCTTTTCATTCTTTTAAAGGTAAGCCGTAGCTGCAGGTAGATTTCGCAGGGCCGGTGTTGTATGCATAACAGGAGACGCGCACTCTCTCAAGGCGACCGGTCTCGCCACTCCTTTGAATTTCATGCGATTCCCTCGTCTTTTTCTCTCTTTTGGTTTGCATATTCACAATAAATGACAAACAGTTTCTTGTCATCACCCTTGTCGGCAATAATTTATGTCATATCTTAATGTATTTTGTTATTTGGAGAATTTAGTGTTGTGGCAGATCTTTCACACTGAATGTGTCTTTTTAATTTATTCACACCTGGGACGGTTACGATCTTGACATATTGTATTGTTAAAGACAGCAATTTGCCCTTTAGATATCTTTTCTTATTTTTGTGTTGGATTGTTGTCTCATTAAGTTTAATCCACATCTCCTTGTATTCACAGTGCAACCATACGTGCTAATGTGTCATATGATAATGAATTTCAACGGTATCTTTAAACGCGTAGCATAAATAGTTTTTAAATGTATACATCTTTGAGCATACATAGACCTGAAGCATATTTGTCTGCTTAAATCCTGATCATGGGGTAACGAAAAGCCTTGAGGTGTTATGTAAGTTAATTAAAGTTTTGTCATTTTAGGAAAATTCGGTTTTTCAGTACTACAACTCTTTACTTACTTTGTTTTCATTTCCTGTGAGACATGATACAACTGTAGCTATTTAGTTGAAGAAAAATATTCAAGTACTTAACCCGATGAAAAAAAGCGATGCTGTATTCCCACAATAAAACGATTTGCAGACATAGTTCTGTCTCCTTCCGTTGAAAATAAGACAAATTAACCTCGGTATCAACTCGTAAGGATGGATATATCAAGTAAGATATTCAATCACTGTTTTTCCTTGACATTTATTTGGACTTAAAATTCCTTGCAAGTGGTGACCTGTCTCTCGGGTATAACCTCTGAGTTGATGTGTATTTTTCAGGGGGAAGGGGGATGATAGTGTCAATTTATTTTCCTTTCAAGAGAGGAATCATGTCATTTCAATCATCTCGCCGTTTTGAGATCACACAGTTGTTTTTGTTATTTCCTTTGTCGAAAAATTACCAATGCTGCTTTCATAAATTCGCTAAAAATAACCCAGATAGTTCCAAACGTTGCAGCGTATTTATGCATCCCTGGCTTTCAAATTTGTTTAAGAACATCAAATGGTTGTGCACTTTGGTTTGAGCGTTCATGAAGGTAAATTCAGAAAAGCGCTCCGGACACACGGAATTTATAAAGTATTTATTTCAATTTATAATAAATTTTGTATTCGGTGAAAGTATGAAGCTCAAGATTGCACATCTTGTTTGTATTTTGAGTTCTCTGTATATGTATATTGGTAGTTTATTTAGACGTAAAAGTAGATTCATATGATTTCAGTTGGATGTTTGATGTTTTGAAATTATTTTTCATTTAATATGTTGACTGTCAAATTTGAAATAATGGATGTCTTTATATTTGTTAGATCTTAATAAAATGTTTTAAGTTTAGAATGTGTTGTTGGATGCAGGCAGTTGTATATTTTGTTAGTTCATTCATAACTTAAACAGACTCTAAGACGATTTCTTTAGAATTTG